GTTCTGGAAAAAGCCAATCATAAAGAGGGTTAGGGTAGAGAAGCAGAGTCCAGATTGTCATTAGTCACAACAATTATGCCACACTGAGATGTAAAACCCACTGAATTTGACATGAGCTAGTTTGTGACTTTTAGAAACCCTTACCTGCTGTATGGTTCTTGTATGCAGGCAACTGGGATATGTTGTATGAATCTACATCTTAACTTATGATGACAGAAGTACTTGCAGAAGCTGTACTGCTTAGTTAACCCCACAGTCACCTGATTAAACAAAAAAATGAACGCATTTCTAAGTCCTATTATAAAACTAGCTCAAATCTGTAAAATACAAGAAGTCCTTATTGATCCATAGTAGAAAGTATTCACAGTCCACACCCTTTTTCCTCTGCCACCAACCTCAGTGTTATGCTCCTACAATACTCTTCATTTATCATACAGCAATTACATAAGTAATTTGAGAAGTAGTCCCGAGCTGCAGTAACACAGATATGACAATTTTAAAAATGATGCATGCAAAATACCTCCAGAATTTAAAGTTTTGTTCAGCAGCAATATGGGAAAAATCAGCTAGAGGATTGGACAGTGATTTCTTATTCCTGTGCCACTAACTGACATGGTCCTCAAGCTGTGGGTTAAGCTGTGAGGCCTAAGGGAGACATTCCTGTAAGTGTGGCTTTAGTGGGAGCAGGACTAGCGTCAGCACAGAACCCAGATGCCTCAAAGCCAGAGAACCCAGTGAACCTTCTCCTAATAGTTCTGTTAAATACTTTCTGCTTAGCAATAGAAAATTTGGAAAATGAGTCAAAAAAGCTAACAAAAATAAGGCAACAAAATTAATTTTTATATATATACATACATATATATACATATGTATGTATCTAGGAAAACAATCTATTTGCATTGTGTACTTTTCACATACAATAACTTATTACCACATTACAAATATACTCTGGGTAACGTCAATGGGCCAAATTCACCTCCTTTACCTTCCATAGTGTTGCACCCGCATACAGCATTGATGGATTTGACACTTGGTCCTTCTTGATGACAATACTACATCAAATGCAGTATCACAGAATACCCATCGAATGTCAGATATTACACCATTATGAACTAGAATATCTGCTTGCTTTTTATATTACAGTAAGTAGAGTTTATTGCTTCTAATGACCAGAAGGTACCTTATGAAGACAGCATAGATGTCAATAACGCTTTTCATATACTGTATTATGGATCTTGGAACACTGAGGTTGGCAGATCACAATCATTAAATTATTTTTCTTCTTTATTTGCTGTTTGCATTTTGATTTTGCTTTGCTGAACGCACATGCAACTAGTGGATTTAACTCTGTGCCAGAAGTGATATGTCAAAAACATTTAGGAAAACTTACTGTTTTGTTTTGTTTTACTGAAGTCAGGCATGAGTGGCATGCAATAGATTGCAAGGAAAAGCAAAAGGACATCCATTTCCAAAGGATTTATAATCTCCATGCACATGTAAAATGTCTCTTACAAAAATCATTAACATTTGTTAAAAGTGTGCCTTTTTGCCTCTTTTTATACAAGTGTACATGCAATTACCTGTCTGAGCTAAAACTATTTACAAAATTTCATAATACAATACATCTTTTAAAGTGAATAATACATGAAAGGCCAATGTTTTCTGTTGTTTTGTAACACTGTACAAGATTAAAAATAAATAAGGCATTATAATACAGGTTTATCACAAATTAAAAAATGTTGGTTTTCACTGTAATACAAAACTCTAACTTGAAAGAACATTATGGCTAAATAGTCCTCCTGCCTGGGCAGAACACATACGGAATCTGGACTTGCTGATGTAAAGAAAATGCTTTGTTTCTGCTACAAGCAGGAATTCAACACATGAAAATGATTCACGCTACTTACTAATGTGTTCAGACTCCTCAAAGCACTGAAATGGCACAGGTCATATACTGTTTCCCTTCAAACAGTGACTCCCAAGTACTTTCTTTTGCCTTACAGATAAATTACAGGCAAAAGTGTGAAAGAGATTTAGGCGCATGACCTACTCTCGGTTACAGTGTTGTAAAATATTCAGTTCAGTACCGACGCAAGACATCGCTGTAACCCAAAGCAGAATTTGGCCTACAGAAGCTCAACTCCTGACCTTCATAAGCATGCTAAACTCCCAGTGATTTCTGCAGGCCTTGTGGGTACATAAGGGATGCAGATTCAGCCCTAATGAGCTGAAGCTTTTGGCTCTCAGTCTCACCTAGAGAAAGCAAGGGAGAATTTGCATGTGTTTTAGCGAAGACAAGGGAACGTGACTTGCCACAGCAGGAAGCAGCTACAAAAAACAATGCATTTTACAGGCCGGATAAAATAGCTTTCTAGTCAATGCACATGGAAAATGTTTGGAAATATCTAGCCAGTAATTCAATTGAATGCCAGTTTGTAATCTCAGCAGAGAATAATAATTAAAAAATCATTTAAAGATAAAGGTAGCATAGAAACACTTTGAAATTAGCTCCCAAGACAGTGAAGTCCAAAGATCTCTGATACTTATCTCCTTATATAAAGAACGAAAGACTTTGATTATTACTATTATCTGAAAGAGAAAACGTGCAAACTGATGTAAAATATTGTGCTTGCTATTGACAGACATCAACATGCCAAAATGGCATCACTTTGTTGTAGGGCTCGTATCTGTTAATTGTTTCAAGCTAACAGCTGCACAAAACAGTGAACAGAAGTGCAGGAGGCTATTCTGCCCACAATGCAACAAGTTACTATCCTTGGTTAAACGTCAGGGACTTTTGGGTACTGTGGGGCAGAATTGACTCCTTGCTGGGGCTACAGGCAAAAGTTACAGAGCTTGACCAGAAAATTAATAAATGCAAGATGGGAAATAAACTGCATGCGTTAAGGTGGACACAACCCAAATCCCACAGAAATCCAAGGAAATTCTTCTGATGATTTTCAGGGATATTGGAGTGGGCCACATATTATCTTCAGCCAATTGCCAACAAAAATTTGATAACAAGCTTCTCTAATTTGGCAGAAAATGTGCATTTGTGGGGTTATCGGAAGTATTACTACCACCTCTTTCCATGTATAAAACTTACTGAACATATCAAAGAACGCAGAAGAGCAGAGAGATTAAATCTGTCCTTTAAATCTATCATGAAAGAGCTGAAATAAAGCAAATGTACATGGAAAATGGGGAAAAATGATAAGAATAGGGAGGGAAAGCATAAAGGCAAGAGCACACCTTCATTATATCATGATTTCAACGGGCATGTAGTTTTCCCTGTTGGAATGGCTGCTGAACACTGCCTGTCATTTTCACATGGCTTTTTACTAATTTGTGTCTTGGCTGAACTTTGTTCACGATTCTGTACTGCTCAGTCCAGGACTACATAGAAAAATATAGTTTTCCCCATAGTAAAACCAGCAACAACAACCACAACAAAAATACGAAAAATGTTAACGGTAGGACTCAAACAAAGTTTGGAAAATGACTCCATCATTGATGCTGTAAGCTAGCACACGCACACTGGACTGGGTGCAGCACCAAGAAGCCATCCTGGTCCACTCAACCTGCTCTGGAGGCACAGACCTCCTGCAAAAGGGACGAATGAGAAGCTGATGATGGACTGTGCATGTCTGGTCCTTCCCATTCAACATGGAAAACATTCTTACAAAAGTCACGTGCCTCATTTGACTCTTGGAGAGGAGGATCAGGCTTAGAAAAACTTTGGAGTAATTCTACTAGCACCTGCTAATCTTTTAAAATTTAAAATTTAAAAAGCCCAAATTTACCTTGCTACATGATCTTCCACTGACATTACTCCAGGACTAGGCTGGGAATGAGTCTGGGAATGAGAACAGTCCCGAAAATCTTAGCACAGGGGACAATTCGTTTCTGCTCACTGTCCATTTAGTGATAAAAGAAACAATGGCAATATGCCTATATCTTGGACCTATTAAAAAGTAACAAAGAAATAATTTCATTGTAAGCTTTTGAGGTGGGTCAATTGCTGTATTTGGTCTGTGTATTCACGTACTACCAGATCTACTGCTAGGATCTGAAGATGCTTTTAATAACAGTACATGTAAAAATAATGTTTTATTATTATGGGTGAAATGATACCAAATTCACTGATTCAAAAATTGTGTAACTTGGGCTTTTTGTGAGTGGAACTGAGTGATTAATGCTATTGCACATAATGCCTTCCATTTTGGTTAAATATTTAACTTACCTGTGTGATGATTTAGTTCTTACAAATCTATTAGAAAACATAAATATGCTTTACATGTGTGCTTTACATGGATGCCACTTATTCAGTTTAATTATGTAAATATTTGTTCTTTTAAATCTGTATTCTCTACATATATTTATTTAAATGGCTTTGAATACCTCAAAATCAGAATTAAATTATTCTAGAAGAATACCTGTGAACTGGATAGCTGTTAGGGAGATAAAGAAATGCCGTGACTTTCCACAGATCAGCCAGGGTGCATACACCTAGTACAGTTAGGAAGCAATTCTCAGGTTTTTATAGTCACTTTAATCACAACACTAATTTTGCTAGCTTTGTAATGAAGCACCTAGCTGACAGGGTACATAAAAATTAATTAAAAACCCTGCTTAAAACCACCGGAGTCCCACAGCAGCCTGATATGGCTACACGGAGAACAGAAACTCTTGCAGCATTTCTTTAACCATTTGCATCTGTTGACACAGTATTTGTCCATATACTTTTAACACAAACAGTGACTGCTCCAAAGCAAATGTGATTGCAGGAGAATCACTCAGAATATTCTTTCCACTGATATCAGTAATAAAATAGGCCCACCAAAGGGAAATGTGACATCTAGTACAAGCAAGTTTTCTACTGTACAATCTGGACAACTTCTGTAGTCTTGGGTGGGGTTTTTGGGTGTAGGGTTTTTTTTTTGTTTGTTTTTGTTTTGTTTTGTTGTGGTTTTTTTTTTGTTTGGGTTTTTTTTTTTTTTTAGTTAAAAGGAAGTTTTGCATGTTTTTAGACAATGTAAAATTTTGCTTCTCTTTTGGAAAGCAGTGAGGCTGGTTAGCTTGTGCATCCCCATCAGGACAGTATGGTACCTGTCCATGGTGCACATGTCACTCAGCAGGATGACCTCCAACTGCCCCCACCTCAAGTAAGGAGCTGTATTCCACATCTGACATCCAGATCAGCGTTTCAAGATGAAACCATGAACAATAGGATGTGGGCTGCATTGAAGGAAAAAGCAGTCAAAATATGTTCCCTTTTATGCAGATTAAGAGCAGGCCTCACTCTCCTGGCATGTTTACCAGTGTGCTCCTCATTTGGGCAAAGTTTGACTGTGCTTGTTTCTCAGAATTATAGCTTTCTATAATTGTACAGCTTTGAAGAGTGAGCCTGGGTAGAATCAAGATATAATAAAACTGTGGCATAAATTTAAAAATCAATTAAGACATAAGACTATGTTGGCAAACATACAAATGTCAAAAAGCTAGCAACGGCATGTTTGTCACCAGTACAGGACTATTCTTTGAGCTGTTTAGAAAGGTAAAGCTAAATCCTGGAACTGGGCCACAGGACCTGTGCTGTTTGTAAAAGCCTGAAATAATACCATCCTTCTGCTCTTCAATAAAATCAGCACTGTACATAAAGGAATGTTTCTATATTGCATAAGCAAATTGCTGTGCTTGCAGGGTGCTCCTCTGTCTTGCACAGTCAAATGACCTGTGAAGAGGCAGCAACTTCTGAACTCTACCACCCTTTTTTTTTTTTAATGGAAAGAATATATATTGTTCTTCTGCCAAACCTTTAAGCTCTGTGGTTTATCTACTTCATATCCTAGTGTTACAGTTTGAATTGGAATTTTTTGGAAGTTTTTTGAGCATGCAAGGAGAATTTTAAAAAATACATAGGGTTTAGCAATTAGCTGAATCCAGCCTTCATTAATCTGCCATTGACAGCACAATGAACACTGTTCTCATTGCTTTAACTCATGCACTGGGAGCACAGTTTCTCTAACTCTTGCCCTGGAGAGTCTCCAGCTGCCCCACACTCCACGGTTAAATGCAGCTTTGCTAATCCCAGACCCAACAATGCTGGCTATGACAGAAAGAGAAATCTCTTTGCTATGTCATTGCAGGTGGATGTGTAAATAAATACATATTTTTATGTTTATCTCTATAAATCTCTATTAAGTCTACACAGGACTGTTTGTATATGTGCATATATAAATTAAAACATATATATACACACACACACATAAATAATTGCTTGCACGTTTATCTCATTGTTTTTCATTTACCCTTTAAAAATGCCAAGAAAATATTCCTCATTTCCAGAAAATCAGGTTTTGACTTTTTCTAACAGAATTGCTAGCCCTTATATGTTCCATCCCAAGAGTTCGTTACACAGTCCCCAAGTTCTCTTTGGTTGGGTTGTAGTGGTCCTTGGTTAATGCCATGGCCTATGACCTCTGATCTCTTGGTAAAAATTCAGGCAACCATTGCTCTCCAAGTTCACTGCAAATGGCACAACCATATCTCCTTTGCTCTACGCCTCCTTCACAGCTGGCACAGAAGGAAGATAATGCAGTGTTTGATTTGTGTGAGTGGCAGATGCTTGACCTGCTCCAAGCCCAGCTTTTACAGTAAAGCTAGCAACTGAGGATACAGACGGACAGCTGGTGCCCAGTTTTGTTTGAATGTTTGCTCTCCCATAAGGGTACATTTTCCGCTCTAAGTTTAAAGACCGTGTTTGTGAATTATTTCCATCGGCCTTTCCTTCCAGGAAATAGGTCAACATTTCACCTTTTCCCTTTACACTGACTTTACCCCTGCACATGAATTCATAACTGCACCTTTTTAATATCCGCTGAACTTCTTCTGTCACCTGAAGACAGAAAGAAAAGAACTATTAGTTTTTCCTGTTCATATAAGGTTAATTCTAGAACTGCCCACCCCTCCCCATTTTACTTCTCTGTCATGAAATACGCATAAGCAGAATGAATTAGCACCTAGTGCTGCTCTCAGGCTCACTTAGAATTTTCTTAAGGAATTAAAAATCACTGACCAAACTGGAATCTGAGATGCCGAACTTCTGGTCTTGAGCTGAATAATGACACAGCCAGAGTAAGCTCCGTCCCACAGAAATGTGTAACCAAATTGTCCACTGTTGTAAGCTGGATCAGTTCCAGTGACGTTAATTTACTCCAGAAGAACTTTTGATCCCTGGAGACTAGACAGGTATTTTGGATAAAGGACTGCAAGAGTTCATTGAGATTTTGAGAGGTGCAGCATAGCTTCTAGCCAAGCTCTAGTAGAACAACAATGTTCTCTCTCTGTGTAGCCTCTCCGATCCAAAGTATCCAAGGAATTTTTAAAGCTACATAAAATGCAGCAGGATGCAAATGGACACAGATCCTTTCCTTGTAGTCCTTATTCAGGCAAAATTCCTACAGCACAAGGACTGGCCCATGCAGTGTCGGCATTCCCAGGCTTGCCTCCAACTGTGTGCAATGCAGCAGAGAACTCTGTTTCTTCTAACGGGAAATGATTTATTTGAGGATTTAGTTGCCTCCAAGTAGTGAAGTGTTTATAATGGAAAACAACTATACCTCTGATGCTTGAATCATCTGGAGAATGTTGCCCTTTTCATAAGAACCACAAGATCAAGTGAGGTTGCGTTTTCTAAGTAGTCTTGGAAATGTAACCACATATAAAATAGGAGGTATGTAAAATTTGCAAAATTGTCTCAGAATGCACTCACCTGAATTTTCCCCTGCACTCCAGTACTATCCATCCGGCTGGCAACATTTACAGTGTTCCCCCAGATATCATACTGTGGTCTTCTGGCTCCAATGACTCCAGCCACTACTGGCCCGACATTAATACCTAAAATGAAAACAATGACTTTGGTTTCAAACACTACAGCATATTATCCAAGGGAAACATGAATCCTGCAAAATAAATTTAACACAAGTGCCTTAGAATTTTTCTGGTCATAGGACATAATATATGTTAAATTAATGCCAATTGGACTTCTGTATTTGTAAGAGCTGTAGAAAAAAATAAAGACATACACAGAGATATTTTATTGGAAATGCAGTATGATAGACAACATAAAAATTTGGCTCATCTGTAGGTTTTCTTTTTTTATTTATTTTTTTTTAAGAAAAGCAGAAAAGCAGTGGTAGTGCAGAGTTTAGTTGTAGAATAATTCAGGACAAACTGTTAAAGATCTTTGATTGTTTGTTACGACTTCCACTGTGGTTGCTCATATAAAGCCTTTCAATGGAGGTTTTCCAAGCAGAACAGAAATAGTGGCCTGGAAAACACGAGGAATGGGGTAAGGGAAGTGTGTCACATTGGTTGTCAGTACCAGACAACTCAGATCAGGGAGACACTGGAAGAAGACAAGAGTATGCGAAAACGGCACAAGCATCTTTTTTGGAAAACCACAGGGCTCGATTCTACATTTCTGACTGATTTTGACACCTTGTTTGGAAGATAAAAGCGGATGTTCCTTCTGAGTGCCCTGAAGAGCTGCACATGCTAAACCCTGCATGAGGTTCTGTGTAAGGGCTTTCCCAGGCAAGTTGTGCAGAAGAATGGGGGTTAGATATTTGTCTTCTGCCCCTTTGTGAAACTGGAAAGACCAGTTATAACAGAGTTCAAAGCGAATTTGGGGTTTAAAATTATTAGGATATACAGGAGGGCAAAGATGTATAACTCTCCTATTGCTACCCTTGATATCTTTGGTCTTAATCTTCTGCTGCTAGCAACCTCAATTTTCCCCTTGTCCAGCCCATTCTCACAATTCAGCCATGAAAATATATAGAGAAAGAAGCTGGAGAAAACTATCTGTGTTAGAATATGCAATGAAATGAGAACAGCAATGGAAGTAGCATTGGAGAGGAGCGGGATGCAGGGAAGGAAGGGAAGAGGGGAACTTGCTCTCTAAGAAGGTGGGGAGAAAGGACTCCAAGAGGTAAGACAGGTAATAACATGTAACGGATTGCATGGGAAGGTTTGTGAAGACCTGAGGATTTGATCTGTTGGAGAAAACAGGACTGGTTCAGGTGATTTGGCATCTGCGGACAAAAAGCTCCCATCACACTTTTAATGCCAACAAAGCTTTTGCAGACGGAACTTAATAGTTAAGTACGGTCAGACCCAGTTCTCAGCAGTTTAGCAATGCAAAGCAGTGTAAGCCACAAGACTGGGTGCACTAATAATATTGTATAAAATTATTGGTGCAGTTTCCTTTTAAGGGTGCATAGATTAAGTAAACACACTGGAATTGGACACAATTATAATTCCTTAATACTGATGCTTACCATGCAGCCTGCTGACCTTCTACATGGATGTGACTCTCCTGCTAAAGGCGGCTTTTCAGTTTTAATCATGAGTGCAGAACAGGTAATCCTTTGCAGACAGCACAGGGAAAGCCAACAAACAACAATGTTCTGCTTGTGTGATAATTGTAGAAACGTGACTTACCAACTCGTAGGACAAAGTCGTTGTAAGACTGATAGTTGATTTCATCAAGAACATCAAACATCTCTATTGCAAAATCTGCCAGTGTACTCAGATGGGAATAAATTGATTTTTTAGCCTAGAAACAAAATAGTATTGCACATTAGATTTGTATGGTACTGAGAGGCAGGTGAAATACCAAAGTGAAAAACAATGAAATGCTCAGACTGCATGGCTTAGGAAAAGAATCTAACCTATTTTGCTGTTTGTGAAAAGAAACTTTTGATGGTGGCTACAGCATATGCATTCTTTTCTCAAGTACTGAATTCTTTTTTTTTTTTCCCCCCTTCTCTCTCTCTTTTTGATTTCTGGGAAGAATGGAAAGCAAAGTTCCCGTGGTAAAGTGGTTCTGTTGCTAGAGAGCTGCAGATGTTTGTTGTGAGCGTGGCAGGGAATATAACCTGCTTTCTTACAAAACTGCTTTGCCTGATGATTATTAATAACTATAGTTTCTGCCCTCTTCTCCCTTTGGGGTTTTCGCTAGCTCCCGGCTCCATGGGGTGCATGCTGTTCCCATTGACAAAACTCCTGTTAGGTTTAATCCTATGAGATGCAAACACCCCTATTTTTTTTCCTTTCCAGGCAAGCTGAAGCGAGTTGTTATAAAACATACCTAAAGGAACTAAAGCAAAAGAACCAGAAGGGATCAACTGAAATGCTGAAGTATCAACTTGTAAAAAAAACCCAAAACATAAGAAAATAATGTTTACAACTTCGGTCTAATTAAACTGTGGAACTCATTTTTAGAAGATATTGTGGATTCCAAAAGTTAGCTAGATGCAAACATAACTACTCAAATTCATGGAATAAATATTTGCTACAAAGTAGTAAAAAGATATTATCTGTAGCTCTAGAATTTCTTAAGCAGCATATCATTAGAAAGTGGGAAAGTGAGGTTTGCATGTTTGTCCTGTAACTCATGACCTTTCCCCAGGATCTACCGTTGGCTAGTTAAAGACTGGTTACTAGAATAGACCTTTGACCTGACTCAGTATGGTTGCTCTTATGTTGTGCTCTTATTTGAATAATAAATATGAATTCTTGAACAGATTTGCAAAGTGAAAGTGGGCTAAAGGTAGGATATGGTGAAAGAAATGCAGGGTCAGTGACAGTCTAGCTTCAGTAGGGTGTTGCACAACAGGGTTGTGGCAGCTGGCATGAGATGAGAGCTCACTGGGTTTTTGTCATTATAGTGAGATTGTATAAATGGAGTACTTGACAGTGGCTGAGAAACCTGAGAAACAGGTTGCTATTTGCTTTATTTGGCTCAGTTTGAAAGGGTTCCTTCATGTGTCTGGGAAATTTACAAAAATTAGAGCAAAGTGCTAACAAAAAATTATGAAAGTCATCTTTGGGTCAGTCCCAGTTTTTAGGAAGGATATTTTTATTTACCTGCCTGGGTATCTGGCATTCTGCTTCTTGCATTGTCAACTAGCTCTACTCTTTTCCAGCCTCACCAAGACAAAGGAAGAACAAGAATTAAGTTTAAAGAGCTGATGGCTACACTTCCAACAGAGAAGGAGAAGAATATTGAATGTCTGGAGGAGGGAGGGACGAGTGTATAGTTTTATTTAATCCTCTAATCTTCTTTATATTCCTTATCCTTCCATTTCTTTGCTGCCCGATGAACGTGTTGATTTCCTGCAATGCCCCTCAGGGTTGCAGGAGAGAGGACTGGTCACAAATACTGGATGTGCTGCAGGTGACAGATGCCTCTCAAAAGGATTACTGGCAAACTCTTTTGAACCTGCACTGAAGAACATCACAAAGTTAGGACCCTGGTGAAGTCAGGACCCTGGTGAAATCACAGACGTAATTTCAAAGGACTCCACACACACAATGAACTTATATTGTGCAAAAGATCTACAAAGAGCTTGGTTTGTGTGCTGCCCTGATGGATGATGTAACTGGCAAGCAATTATTTATTTAAACATCAGAGGAATAGTTACTGGAAAGACTGCCCAGAGCATCACAGCAAAACCACTCTGGCAGAGGCAATGTGCATTTACTATAGTCATCTGCTGAAGTCAAGCTGCAGAAACAACAGTCCTGTAAAATAGGGGATTTAAATATTTAACTTCATCAGGGTACTGGGTTCTTATGTGTGTAAATATCCTCAGTTAAGAGCAAAGTTAACCTTATCCACTGCTTTCTGCTCATGTCCAAATTCTAGTATGAAATTGGTGGCTCACAACCAGAAGCTGTGCCAGATTTTCTGATGAAGCTGTGACACTCCTGGCAGAGGGGAGACCAGAAGCACTTGAGTCTCTTCTGGCTCCCCATGGACACATATGACTCTGTAGGGCAGCCCAGGGACTGTGTGACGGCTGGCAGTGATTGTCTGCGCCTGACAGGCTATCCAGGATCATCAGACTTCTAATACATAGCTGCGTGCTGAAGACCTGGTGGGAAACTGCCAAGAGGATGTGAATAATTTCTACTCATTTGCATCACACAAGCAGGGGGAAGAGTTCACGGAAGAGCTGAAACCCCAAGTTAAAGTAAAAAATATTGGCTGTTTCATACAAGATCTTTAGGTTTTCTGGAATAAGAATGTTAAATAAATTCTACCTCTACAGAAAAGATCAAAATTTGCCCCAAGATTTCAGAGAAAAGTAGAGTCCTGTACAAGACCTTCTGCAGTGATTTAAAATGCATTATTATCATAAGCTCAGAGTGGTATCTTCAGTACCGGGCTAACTCAGCTGACCCGTCAGTTAGCAACTATAAAATACAAGACATAAACATGTTTAGGTTTTGGAACATATGCTGCCAAAGTTACCCAATAACATACTTGTTTTCAGGATTATAGTTCAAAGAGCATTTATAGCAGACACACAAGTATGCCGTTGCCTGTTTGCCTGAGATCACATCGAACAAAATTCAAAGGATCAATTTTTTTGCCTGTCTCAGGACCCAGGAGTCAAACATTTCAGCATAAACGGAGTCTTAAAAATACCTTTTTGTAATGTGTAGATTTCTAGGAATGATACAAAGGAAAACATCAGTTGTAAATACCCTGCAGACCAGAAAATTAGTTGCATGTGATATACTCCAACATGATTCTAACAGTTGATTTCAGTGTGGCCTTGTTTTTTATTTACCCTGTGAGGATAATTGTTGCTAGAAAGTTCACAGGCCATCTTCTGGCCCTTTTTGCTTTTGCCCTCTAATTCGGTGTTATTTTGCAATGCTAAACCATATGCATGAGAGTACCTCTACAACATAAGTACACGCATATCAGAACAGGGGAGAGGTGTCTGGAAATTCTGGGCAGACTAGGTGCATGGATTGCTTTCATTTTCATTATATTCTTCATATTATTAATTTTATTAATTTTTCATAAATTAACTTTATTAATATAATTATTAATGTGCATAGTACTCTGTAGACAATATATTCAGTATACTGTCTACAGGGTTCTCTGCTTTTCCAGATGCTGCATGCAAATCTAGGAAATCTCTGTCCCAAGACACAAACTTAAGGTGAGAAACACACTCAGAAGTAGTAATGAGGATACAGAAGAACTGTGCCCCAGAACTAGTGGGTCTGAAATGACTTTGACTTCTTTTATTGCTGAGTAATTAAAGAGGTAAAAAGAATGCTATCAGTAGAGACAAAGAAGAGCTGATTTGGAGGGACCAGGGTAAAGTGCAGCAATGTACCTAGCACTAAGTTCCTGTCCATGATGGGGGTTGGGAAAGGCTGTTTGTTTTGATTGTAGGTTGCACCCAGATTTCAATATAAAAAAGAAAAAAAAAATCACATTTTAACATTCTTCTGTTAGTTTTGCAGCAATTCATTACACCTAGACTCTCCCCTTCCCTGCATCTTACGAGGTCGTCTAAGATACTGGGTTTAAAACACTACCACTCTGACTTAGGAGCTTTATACACCAATTTGCAGAGAATCCAGAGCTGCAGACAATGAAATCCCAAATGAAGCCATATGAACAACTGCTAGGATAGCAATTTTTCTTTTCAGGCTACAGTTTTTCTTTGAATTTCAGATTTAATTGTTGTAAAGAAGTAATACAAGTTATCTATAATCACATAGAGTTAGTTGTGTTTCTGATGTTCCTTGGGAAATTGAAGGATAATGGTTCCTCCACAAATGACCATCATGTAAAATCTTCTTACCTTAGTTCCCGAAGTAGGTACAAGTCCCACAGCTGCCATATATGTACTTCCAATTGTCTTGATCTTTTCTATGTCCTTATAATATTCTTTGTCCATAAGCTTTGTTTAAAACATAAAACTGTTAAATGTTACATAATATTTTAGACAAGCAACCATAGCTATCAGATAATACGTGCAAGTTGATTAAACCATATTATTTTTGGTAAGTTGAGGCTTGCCCACTTTGAGGTCATTGAAAAACCTACCGTTAACTCACATTTTAATATTCTTCCTATATTAGAGGAATTTGAGGTCAGACTCACATACCTAAAAGTACAAACTGGGCACTTTGGAGAAGACCAGTGGACACCAACTACAATTAATTAGGAAGTTTACAGTACTGTTTTATTAGGCAGTTCAAGATAGCTGAGTTGCTACAGATAATCTCTGTTGATAGTAATTCGGTAGAACTGATATGATCAAAAGACAAAGTGTTTAGACCTTACCTCATCAAAATCAGCAATAATTTCATTTAACAGGCGTAAACATTCCACTCCCATATTATTGCCGTCCAATTCAATGTAGAAATCATTGAAATTTGGGATGGAAGCAAACATCACTCCCACTTGTGAATATGACTGGTAATAAAGGTCCTGCAGTTCAAGCAAGATAAAATGACCATCATGTAAAATCTTCTTACCTTAGTTCCCGAAGTAGGTACAAGTCCCACAGCTGCCATATATGTACTTCCAATTGTCTTGATCTTTTCTATGTCCTTATAATATTCTTTGTCCATAAGCTTTGTTTAAAACATAAAACTGTTAAATGTTACATAATATTTTAGACAAGCAACCATAGCTATCAGATAATACGTGCAAGTTGATTAAACCATATTATTTTTGGTAAGTTGAGGCTTGCCCACTTTGAGGTCATTGAAAAACCTACCGTTAACTCACATTTTAATATTCTTCCTATATTAGAGGAATTTGAGGTCAGACTCACATACCTAAAAGTACAAACTGGGCACTTTGGAGAAGACCAGTGGACACCAACTACAATTAAATAGGAAGTTTACAGTACTGTTTTATTAGGCAGTTCAAGATAGCTGAGTTGCTACAGATAATCTCTGTTGATAGTAATTCGGTAGAACTGATATGATCAAAAGACAAAGTGTTTAGACCTTACCTCATCAAAATCAGCAATAATTTCATTTAACAGGCGTAAACATTCCACTCCCATATTATTGCCGTCCAATTCAATGTAGAAATCATTGAAATTTGGGATGGAAGCAAACATCACTCCCACTTGTGAATATGACTGGTAATAAAGGTCCTGCAGTTCATAAGCAAGATACAATTTTTACTTTAAAAGATTAAGGTAAACCAGGCATCATTATTATGATATCTATTCTACTGCTAAGCAATAGCTAGGACAAAAGCCATAATTTTTGGTAGAGAGAAAGCCAGCCTTATTAAAAAAAATGTTGAAAGATCTCTCCACTCAAAAACACAAAAGAAAATTAACAGCAAAGCTATTAAACCCATTTAAAACAACTTAGACTTTTTCTTTGTTCAGACATGGAAGCAGTGAGTAAAAATTTTGTAGAAACTCTTAACAGTTGTAGTACTTTTATTGTATGAGAAATATAATTGCATTTTCTCAATTTTGTTTTATAACTAAAATAGGAGACGAAACAATTTTGCCCTGCAGCACAAAACCAGCCTCGCTCCTTCATGTCTTTGCCTGAGTTGCGGAGTCCTGTGTTCAACACTAACAATATAATGCTGTTCTGTACGGTAAGGTTTCTGCTTAAGAATTTGGAGGGCTCGTGGGAAGTAAAACCACTCTTCTGTGGTTCAAATACATTGATCCAAACTCTCAAGAGCAGTATCATGGTCATTACGGTGACTCCAGTGCTACAGGTATTGCAGCTGCACCGGAAGGACTCTGGTAAGGGCTTCCTGAACCACTTTATTTAATCACTGCAGCCTTTGATGTTAAAAGCTACTGAGTCTTCCTTGGGTGTGTACAATTCTCTGTTTTTAACTTTAAATGGATGGGTTTGGTAATGGCAGCGTATTTCCAGAGCTAGAGTGGTTCATATGGAAGTCTCTGGCAGTTCATACACTTCACCATTCAGAACCAAACTGAGCTCATGAAATACTGTGATAAATCCCCGTATTCTAAATTGTTTGAAAAAAAATTAGTGATTTGCATGCAGGCACTTGGCTGCATTGATGCTGAATGACACAACGTTCCCTTATCCTGCTTTTTATTAAAATTCTTCAGAGGAGGATACTACAGCAAAAGAAATAATCCCAATCTAATTCTTGAACACAAGTTTTTACAAAACTATTCCTTTTAACATGAATGAAATTTTATAAGTCCAAGCCTTTCTTGAAAACACAGTTGAAAGGTGACCCAAGCTACATAGGGTCATACCCATACAACATCACCATGTATTTAAATTTTATCTTGGTTTACCATATTTCTTGGATTAGACATAAGAAAATGCTGTGCAACATGTGCTGGCAACAGGTTGAAGAGAATTCTTTTATTATCCAGCTTGACTCTCTCCATATCATCTCTCTCTTCTTCTGCCTGTGGGGATAGGAAAAGAAAAACCTTTCCAAAAAGCAAAAAAATTAGCTGAAGCCAAAGTATCTTCTATTAATTCATCCTTTGAAATTAAACTGAGCAAAATAATGCCTGCAAAGTAGAGTGGGAACAGTTCTCCTATACCATGCTTTTATGTTTGGGGCAAGATCCTTAGTAATTCAAGCTAAAGTCTCTGGGCCGATGACTACTTTCAGGGCTTGATCAGCTAAGTGTTTTGGTGTCTTCTGTAGTTCTCTGATCTTTTAAATAGGCCCTTGATATTTTTACAGAGTAAAAAGCTAGAATAATCCCACTTAAGTCACATTGGTCTTCGAGGCCAATTACTTCCCAGGTAGGTGGAGACAGTGACAGCAGTATTTGATCCACCTTTCAAAAAAGAGAAGCCTGGAGAATCACCAGTGTTTAAAGCAAACCTACATAATTTTGCAGTAAAATGGCAACAGACCTGGTAAGACAGTAACTTCAACAGAGAAGAAGGTTTTAAAATGGAACATCCTTAAGAATGATATGCAATTAAAAAATTATTTTAATATAAAAAATAATTAGCATTTCTGGAGTTGGTTTTAATTACTCTGGTATTTGGCATGAAAACATATACAGCTCCTGTGCACATAAATTTCTGTGCACAACAGCAACAGAAATTCTATCATTCATGTGAATGACAGCATTCAGAAAGAGTACCTAGGAGTTAACACAGGTGAGTTCCTTAACCCGAGATACTGGTATCTTATTACAAGTGTCTTGACTCACAGGAGTTAGTGGGAGTCATGCATTAGGAAACAATTCTAAAAATCAGACCCCTTATTGGAAAAATACTGAATATCTAGGGATCTCACTTGGGACTCCTAGGTTTACAAATTCCAGCCTAGTCCTTAGTAGACTCTTCTGCAAAATTACTTCTCTGGAATTTGCTCCTTGTTGTTAGAGTGACTTTTGGCCCCACATTCTGATTTCAATTAGAGAATGTGATCAGTACCATATAATTCATCTCATAGAAATCACAGCTTATTCTTTGCTCTTCAATCACACTCAACAGAACTGTAACACAAATCTTCTGCCGTGATCCCAATATGAAGTTATTTATCTAGTTACAGTCAGCAGAAGACTAGAAGGCCAAATTCTCACGCATTGTTGAGAAACTACAATCATGTAAACCACTGAAGAATCTTCTCTAATCTTTGTTGGTGTCTCTTTTATATCTAGAATTTGCTACCCTGATCTATTACAAAGTCCACATACTTTTCTCACTGTCCATTCCTGCCTAAGTAGGAGAAAACCAGTCACCTCTTGCCTTTGTATAGTCTTACAATATTCTTTTCATGTGATTTTTTTTTTCAGGAAGCTAATTTTTGCTTTCCATGACAAAACTTAGGAAATAACCTTTTTATTCAAATCACACAGTATGCTTTGCCTTGCAGTTTACATCTGTATTCTTAAATTTCTTTACAAGTAGAAAGAATGCTAAAAGAGAACTGGGTTTATAAACATAAGTTCTTCAGGAATCATTCCCTTTTGAAATAAATTCTCAGCTCCTCCTCTAATTTGTGTAATAAGAATCAGAATTTATTCCAGAGGTGAAATATCAGTAAACATTAAATAGCAGTTAAGCTCTGCAAGAAATATACCTGAAATTTTTATTTTAAGCAAGTATCTATTTCCTGTTTGTGAGCTGTTTTCCTGACACTTTTTTTGCTGTTTAAATTTCATATGCTGTTTTCTTAAAATATCCTTCCCCTATTTTGGTGGTATAACTCTGTCTCTGACTTATTGTTGTCTATAAACATGTGTAATGGCCTCGTGCCTTTAGTCTGACTGTTGGAATTTAAATGTTCTAATAGTAAAAATAATTTTTTTTTTCCCCCTGAAAATCCAAACCAAGCTTATAACTCCATTTTTACATCATATTGGAATATGGGAAATTTTACTCGGACGACAGCAATGAGATTTGCAAACTGAATTCATGCTCTGAATAAAAAATCCATTTTGGACTTGCTTATCCATTCCTCTATTTTTTGAATGAGAACTTTTTTGTTACTTTCTTCCTAGGAACGTTTAAGGTTCTCAGTTAAGCTCCCAATACAATATGGGGCAGAATAGCAGCTTAAAGAACAATACACCTTTGGGCAGGGTGTAGAGATTTCTGGACAAGTCAAAGTAATCAAGCAGGAGTAGGTAAGTGGAGTAATCAGTTTGACACATTGCATGGATAATGATGTTGCTCAATCACTGGCAGCTGCTGTTCATTTCTGAACTGGAAATATGTGATCAGATTCCTCTGCCTTGCCCAGTCGTGCACCAAAGCGTTCATTTTGGAAGACATGATTGAGAAGGTTCTTCAGCAATATGTAGTGTTTCCTACCATTGTGTATGATTCACAACAAAAGTTTCAGAGCAAGCCACAGCACAAGGACAAAGCTGCCAGCACTGAAGCAGACCCTTGTGACCTTGGTCATGTTGCTGGACTTCTGTCCAGGCTTTGATGCACAGAAATAGAAGATGATTCTAATACACCAACATAGAATAAATGAGAAAGGACACTCTAGCCTGTTGGTTTTCTGGTTGTTTCCTTCTGACGGAACTTTAAGGCATGTAATGGCTTTTCTCCTCCTTTCTATCTTGCTTCAATACGGTCATGAAACTACTGGGATAGAAATGCCATTGACACTACTGTGAGTGTGCAGGTGTGGGTGTGGCAATATTCACAATGATGGGATCACAGCCGTGCCTAAGAGGCTGAGAATTGAGCTCTTCAGTGAAGAGCTAGTGGCTCAAACCAAACCACCAAAGTCATGACTGAAGGGGTGGCAAAATCCCTTAAAAGCAGGGAAAAGCATCAAGGATGTCACCATTGCTAAGAAACACAGTAGAATGCTACATTTCCAACACACCTAGCAAGCATCTCTTCCCCTCTTTGGATGCAAAACTGTTAACTACAGTTTAGACTCTAAGAAGGTTCAGTTGCCAGAAATGAGATGAAAGCCTCTAAGGTCATGGAAGGCCGTTGAATAATACCATGGTGGGTAATGGTAGCAAACCCTAAATAGAGACAAAATATGCAAACAGCAGAACGAAGGGAATGTAGGTCAAGTGCTCTTAGCTTTTTGTGCCCTGGCCTATTTCAGGTAAGGCACTTCCTAGCCAACAGGGAGAGAAGAGTGCACTCTCTCCCTGTGGTTCAGGGAGACATTTGCACTGGCAACGCCTGTGTGGGGCAAGGCAGTGCCATGAAGAACAAGATGTGTTAGCTCCACCCAACCTAGCCCCAGACCTAGAAGCAGAACATTCATGGAATTAGCATAGCACTCCTTCTGACCTACACTTAGTCGTGTTGAAAAGCAAGGTATATTAGCTTAGACCACATACTGCATTAATACCCTAGCCAGAGTCTCTGCATGGATTACACTTACACCATCCAGACTTACCGAATGTCTAACATCCTGCCTTTATTAAACTGATCTGCTAGGAATATGAACTGAAGTGTACCGTCTCTGCCACTACTGCATAGAGTTTGAGTATCCATCCTCTCGCCCTGCACCACCTAAGACAGCTCTCATATATGCAGCTCCTCAGGAGCTGCCTGGGGAAAGAGGAAAGATCTTGTGTCTCTTGCAAGGGAAGATAAGGAGTGAAGGTGAGGTAAAAAAAGACTTGGTCATGTTTGGCAGTGAGGACTCTAAAACTATACCATCACACGGCTCTATGGGAAGGGAAGTAAACTGATTACTGATATGTTCTGGACCTTTTTCCAGCTTCCTGCTTTCTGCCCTTCAGGGGAATGCAATGAAAACTGTCTTTCCTCCTTGTGACTCATGAACTCCTAGTGCCTACTCTTTGAGCAGCTGAGATAAAAGGATGTGTAGGCATCACCCTTTCCCAGGCAAAACAGACATTGAGAAGGGAGAAGGAGTACTTGGGGCTGGAGAAAGAAGATTAAAATAGCACAGATCACAGGTATTTACATTCCTGGTGGAAATATTATCCAGACAGCTAAATAGCACCCTAACCCTGGTCTGTTTGCCCCTATTCCTATTGGTTAATTAAGGAAAGCTGCCAGCATGATATTTATGCAATAGCTGCTGGCTCAAAAAACAAGGCAGATTACTGTGAAAATAAACAAGAAAGAAAATACATAGGCATGAGCAGCATCATTTTTCACATTCTGCTTTTTGCTTATACCTGTTTGGTATTTGTGGCAGGTAGGTAATTTTGCAGAACTTAACTGGATTTGCAGAGCTGCAGTATTTAAAAGCAGGCTTTGTTTTTGCTTCAGACCTGGTGACAAAATTTAAAATGTTCTTTGGTACTATGGCTTTTGACATCAATGTAATTAACAGCTATTGCATTTTACAAAGTTACGCAGCATCTCACAGTTTTTATAATGCTGGTAGCTGGTTACACATCCCCTGTTCAGAAAGTGGTCTGAGCTGTTGTATCACCTGAGCTATCAGGTGACTGTTTAATAAGCATAATAATGCTGTAGCAATGTCACTGACTGAAGAGTTATCACATGAAAATACACTGTTTCAAGATACAGCTAAAAAGAGCGGGGCACTGGTGCCGCAGAAACATCATCTTTGTACCTGAAGGTGGCACTAAAACCACAGGGAAGAGACCCATCACGTTGCTTCTGTAGGGCCAGATTTTTAAGAGGAAGTGCAAGCACACCTAGCAAGTCTTGCCTGCCGACTGTGAAATACATATTTCTTACAAGTGTCACGGATTAGAAAAGACAGCTGAATGATATTCGAGTATTCCCTAAAGAATGCAACAATCAGTCATATCATTGTATCATTCTTATTTTCCTCCCCTGACAAATCCTGGGTGAGTGAGCAACTCCAGGTTTTTGGCAGTTTTAGCTTCTTCATGAATATATTGCTTGTATTTATTAGTCCTTTTTTTTTCCAGTTTTGTTGAATAACTTGCATAAGCAAAAGTGATTATCAGTCACCAATAAGTAAAATGCTCCTATATTTGCTATTCACAGTTATTGTCATATGAGGCACACAGAGTTACTCAACAATGTTATGTAGAAAATCAAATTATCCTCCCACTGCCTGTTAAAAAAAAACCCAAACAAACCAGATATTTACTGGAAATACTGTGATATTCGGAAAGGTTAAATTTGGCACAGAAAAAACCCTAGCAAAATCAACAAGAACTTACAACACCATTGACGTGTGAACAGTCAGTACAAATATAAATGTTTTAACAACTTATCATCAATCAGAAAAAACTATTTTTTCCACACGATGTACATAAATCATACTGTATTATCTCTGTTCTGGTTACGTAACCTAGATGCATGGAAATTAGATTAACTTTTCTTGAAACTGTATCATTTTTCTAAATCAGTTTTTCTTGTTTGAAATCTGCTTTTCCTTAAAAAATATTTTTTTCCTGATGTGGCAGACAAAATCTATGGAAATGGGTTTTCCTCAGACCTTAGCATAGACCACTGAGCATCTATCTATACATTCTTATTAATAATGGTATTAATTGCAGGATACTTTCAGTGTTTAAAGTATCATTTAGTTAGTACTAGACTGTTTGTTGTTCATGATGATTTAAATGAAAATATTTATGAAATCCTTTTTAGTGCAGCTTATGCCACAAACGGGTTTATTCACCTGAGAACATTTTTACAGGATTAGCCCCACAATGAGCCTTACTAAAAGTACGCAAATTGCTTACAACTTCCAGAATAGCCCTTGAGCCCGAAATTCTCCCAGTTGTAAGCCAACAACTGAGAAACTTCCTAAAAATACATGTTGTACCATGTTGGCACATCTTTCACACAGCAGCGGCTGGCTACTGGGAGATGCGAGTCTCCCACTCTAGCAGTGATTCATGCAATTCAGTGTTTGCACAAAGAACCAGCACACTCACTCTGTAAAACAGAAGAAAATCTCCACAGTCCCTGTGCACTAAGTCAATGGTCTTTCTAAAACTTCTGCTACCAAGAACGTAACCAAGTTAAGCCAACATGGTTCAATGGTAAGCAGTACTGCAGCTGTAGAGAAACATGACCAAGAATGCTGTTTAACCATATACAGGGCTCCTGCAGTCCAGCAGCTAGAGAAAACTGCCACTCAGGAAGGTGGTTTTTACCCTTGCCTCCTCTTAAAGATTGTTAAACAATTAGTAGCTTGGAGTTTGCTAACTATTCAAAGGCAGTTTTAACATACAGATATTTCCAACCAACAGTCTTCCCAGAGCTTTTAATACTCAGACGTTTACTATGCCAAAAAGCCTAATAAGTACAAAGATAATGTGGTTTTTACTTATCCATTTGAATCGGTAAGCACCATAAGCACTTCTGTAGCATCCATCATGATGGTACTTCTGCATGTTATGTTAATTAGCCCTTGTATTCAATATCATTTACAACCAATACATGGAGTGAAAACCAGGACAACATTCCTTACAACTTATTATTCACTATTATTTATTGTACAGGGAATAGATCTTCCATGTGGAATTGAGAAGAACAAGGGTATATGCCCAGATCATCAAAGAGGCCAAGCATCTACGCAGCATACCGATTTCAAAGAATGGTAGTCATGTTGATCCCTAATTTCTGAATTTTCTACCTACACTGATTTTTTTTTCCCCTTCTGATTATTATCATGCAAATCTCACAGACAAGATGGTACCACATAAGTACCTGATTTGCAACTGACAAGAAAAATAAAATGGCATTTGATCTTCTCAGATGAAAAGCACTTTTTGAAATGGTACCTGAAGATGCCGCTGGACATTACTGAAATTTGATAGGCATCCATATGTCTTAACTCCCCTTATTGTCCTTTGGAGTAAGTGCACAATGGCTTTAACAATAGTGGTAGATGACTAGGTATTTCTGTAAAACCTGGCCCCAAGAAAACAGAAAAAGTTTATATTTCTTCCTTTACTATTCTCCAGTTCCGGTCTTTCAGCAGGCAAGCATCCCATTATTTTCCAGTACTTAAATTTTTAAAAATAATTGATTGCTAATTAAAAGCCAACTTAAAACTAAGAATCTTTAAGCAGTACATTCCTTAGGGATGCACAATTCACTGTGCAAGTCATAGTAGCTGGAATGATGAAAAGCCTTTAAGATGCTGGAACTCACTCTTGACGTGTTGAAAGGCCACAGGATAGCAAAACAGTATCTTCCTGCCTGCTACTCTATTTCATGGCTAGGAATAACATACCGAAGGTCTCCTATTCATGGATCATATGGCACTCACATACCTCCACCATGTGCCAATCTATATAAAGATAGCCACAATACAGCAGTCGTGCTGCTCTGAGTTTCAAAGTCAGGGGATTTTTTGTTTCCACCTGAAAACTATATTTGGCACCTCAGCAAGCAGAAACTATTATCAGTTTGTCCAAAACAAACTTCTGAGGCTGACAGGCACAGCACCTATCACCTGCAGGTCATAGGACAAAAATTAAATGAAGCTATCACACGCTGTTGACTCAGTTAAACAGCACAGAGTCCACAGAAATTATAGACAAGGTAAACTTAAATCATAAAGGAGGTGGACGTGGTCTTGGACATCAAGACAAACAAAAAGTCTCAACAGAGCTTAACTGTTATGTTGAAAAACTTTAAGAGTAGAAGATAATAGAGCTAAGTCATTCCTGATTTCTTCATTCTAGGTAACACAGTAGAGTCAGGGATGTGTTTAACCCATGTGTTCCAGTCTTGATCTTACACATAAAAGCAAGCACTGCAACACTTTATACAGTCTTCTTAACAACATAGTTAACAGGGCGTAGGTGAGAACAGGATGTGACCTTTGTGAATTGCAAGAGTGTAAGAGCATAAGATTTATCAGAAACGCAACTTCCAAATTCCACCAAAACAAACTGAGGTCTTCTTCAACTTTCTCCTTCCCTCAGGGGCCAGTGTGAAACACTTTGGAGGTGGCAATAGGACAGCTGAGAGGCATGACATTTCCTGATGCCCCTGCTTATGGCTAGTATAATTTCTATAGGTTTTGCTGTGATTATGATAGTTAGGAAATATATTTTCAAAAAAAAGTCCATGCACTTGTTATCTAAATAAATTTCTGATCTTCCTTTGGAAAAGAGTTCCATAGTTTCATTGCATGATATAAGTATTTCCTTGTATCAGTTTTATTTTCTTCTTTTCAGTTTACCTGAACACCAACTTATTTTCACCCCTTTTTGTATTACAAGATGAAAAAAACTGCATGGATTTAATTTCTTTATCTCAAATTTATATTGCTAACAGTCAATTTCCCATGTTTGAAATTCTCTCTATTCATAATGCACCTTAGATAGAAATATATTACTTCATTAATAATGTACTGTTATGGAACAACAAACAAACAAAAAATCACCTCTCCAGAGCAAATGAATTTTATAGGTCTATGGAAAGAAAGCTCTAATAAGTTTTCTCTGTAAACCCCAACAGACATGAAAAATCTTGAAAGTGTCTTAGTCCAACTAATTTGTTCTGAAAGTATTTGCAAGCCAATTCAAAAAGTCAGACATCATTTTGTGTGCATGCATACTAGAAAGAAAAGTCCTGTGACTTACCTGCACAGCCCAGAGGTAGTCCAGACGCAGTTTCAAGTCCACCTGTCTGGAATGCAGTGCCAAAGCACAAGAAAATAGCAAAATGGCTAGTATTGGTTCATAGCCATGCATATAAAAGGAGCCACCCCTTAAAAATGAAAGGAAAGTAAATGGGTTATTCCAGGTTTTCTAATAACTAACACTGCATATTTTTAATATCAGATCTTTAGTTTAGAACATGTGGGTACCCGCTAATCACTAGCCTTTTCTGAGGACGCTCATACGGGTGGGGAGATGGGTGACAGTAAATCTGATCGCTGCATCACACTAACATTCAACTTCCTGAGGATTTTATAATGCTATACATTATTGTAATGTGTATACATGCTTTTAATTAGGAAATATAAAAACTCTCAAAAGCTTAAATGAAATTGGAATTGGCTGAGGGCTGCTGAAATATGGAAGTGAAGTTAACAGTGTTTTTCTATTTCATATTATAATTAGACTGCAGTGTGTTCAGCTGAGGTATGTTAGCATAAAACTACAGAATAATGGGGCAACACTTGCTAGTTCCGAAAAGCTGATCTCCTGTTGATGGGTATTACTAGAATCCTACAATTGCTGGGGAGAGGATGGCTTAAGTATTTCTTACGCTCTACTGAGTATATAGCCCTCAGCAGCACTGAATGCTAGAGGACAATTCACATACGAGGAGTCAGTCGTGACTATACAGAAATACCCATTGCTTTAACTTTGCAAGGTACCTACCCCACTGCTTTTCTGTAACCGCTGAGTTCCAGAATAACTATGTACAAAATTGTAACAAAAAGCAGGAGAATCATTTTTGGCAAGGAAGATACACGTAGAAATATTGCCAAGGTGAGAGTCCCCACTACACAGGAAAGGAAAGCATAGTGTGCTGTGTCACATGGAAGTTCATTCATTGTTTTATTTGTTCCACCAGGAGAAATGATAACTATTGAACTGCTGGAGTTGGTATTCCAAACCCAAGGCATACAGCCAACCTAGAAAAGACAGGAGAGGCGAGAAGGGGAGAAAGTTAAATATGAAATAAACAGAAATGCAGCTGCTGTGGGGGCTGACTGTAGTGCGTTTCTAATTGAGAAAATATGGCCATGGAATTCCCATCCAGCTCACCGCTCTAATAAAATCTCTCTCCTTTTCCTGTAACGCTTTACTCAGTTTTAGGTGGGAGACACTCTTTGTTCATTAGATGCCAGTAAAGCCAACCAATTAAAGTCTGGGCTTATTTGAATAGTTTCCCTCTCAGTGCTCAAAGCCAAGAGATTCTCAAGCCAACATATTCCTGCAAAATTAAGGAACTTCAGTAAACATTTTATGTGGCCATGCAGGTGAGAAAGGTTCTTGCACAGAGCACAGAAAGAAATGTGTTTGTTTTAATGACTATGTAAATTGTATCAATTGCAATTAATCAAATATAAAATAAAACATATTTTAATCTTTGATTGAAAAGCTAAACATGAATAATATCTTTTCTCCACTGCAGAGCTACTTCTGCTATCACATATGATTCAAATACAAGGCCTCATCTTTAGCTATCCCTGCCATTTCAGTTATGCAAGGAGTTTCATTTCCTCCCTAGGCTGGGAAATAAAAAAATGTTTTAGTGCATTTCAGTCCCTCTGCAGAGCCTTCCTACCCTGCAGAGGGATGTTTTAGTTTTAGTTTTAGTGCATTTCCTATGTGAAATTTGAGGAAATTTAACCTGCTGCTTCCAAAGGCAATGTCATGTACACATCTCAGAGCTGTTACCTAAGGAAGGGAGGAATTTCTGGCAAATAGTGCAAGTCCCTAGAGCTCCAGTTTTAATTGCACTCCAACCTTCACCCCTTATGAAGGGTGAGTACAAGAGTTAGCATAAAAGGGGAGAGTGGGATGGTAGTGTGAAATTGATTTTAACAGGCACCACCACATAAGCCCTGCCCTGTACTTAAGCTTCTCTTTTGAAGTGTGTTATTAGACCTTTTTATTTAATCCTAACCACTGATAATGAAATTTTATAGCATGCTGTAAAATAACTGACAACCTGAAAGGTTATTAAGCAATATATTTTACAGGTGGTTGTAGTAATTTAAAAAGATGAGGCATAAAAGATAAAATGTGAGTTAAACTCATAATGGCTAACATTATGAAATAAGATGAGAAAGAGTGAAGTATAAAATCTGTTTAATGTGATTTTGTTCAATATTCTTAAAAATGCTGTTCAACTAAACTCATCGGAAAACATAGGCATGCAGGAGGGCTTCATAAATGATGTGCAATCCATCCAGGAAAACACCATATGCTCTACAACTAAGAGTAAAACCTCAACACCTAGCTCCTCTGCTAGCTGAGACTTCTAGAGGCATTACTTTGCAGGAATGAATAATTTCTACTGATTAAACATTTCTCCTAAGCATTTCAATGGTTGCAGGCTATTTTTGCTTCAGTAAAGGATAAAGTTATATTTGTGACCTATTCTAAGTTGTAACTGAATGATCACTGCCTTGTTGGAGGCCAGAACATCTGAATTCTAATCTGCTTTCTTCCACCGATGTTCACCGTTGCCTTAGGCCTTATGATGTCTGTTTCTCATTTTCACCGTCTTTAAGCGGCAACAATGGTGCTTGTTTCATTTGATCAAAGTAAGAGTCAGGGGGCTGATCCATAAAGGTTCCAGCTGTCATAATATTAATCTCAATCCCAAAGTCAGATACACAGAACTTGCTGAGATGCTAGCTAGCCTGGAGGCACTGCACATCTCTATGCATCTTAGGCTTATATGCACATTAAGAACCACATACATGTCTGTGTGCTATTAGGGCTGTGTGTTACTCACACAGCTGATGTTCAGGAATTCCCAGAAATGTCTGAACAACAGTAATTCTTCATATGTCTCAGGACATTGGAATTCGCAGACAAGGGATCCTCTGCCCATTCAGTTCATGGGGATCAGCTTGGTAGATGTTCTCAGGGCAGGTCCAGGGACGAGTGAATACACAAAATACAAAATAAGGGGCTTGGCATCTCAGTCAGCACTGTGAATTGCTCATGAAATCACTGTCTTCCTATTGGTCAGAACACATTGCCCAAATCCCGCAGAGAGACATGATTTGAGACATCTGCCTTCTCAGCATTTCCAATTGTGTTTAGTGTGCTATTTTTGTGTGGATTCTTTCCTTTGGGTACCCTAACATGTTTAATTCATTAGCATTAGCAGCCAAAATTCTGAAATTGAGTGCTAGGAATTTGACAAGGCAACTAAATGCCAAATACTTAGGTGGAAATTTAAATCCCATTTGACATTCAAGTCCATCATGTAGAACTAGCTGCTAATCTACAGTAAAAGACGCTCAATTTTCAGAAGTATTGAGCAAGTTCACTTCATACAAGAGAAGCTTCCTAGACATTAGATGTGAATGGATCATGTAAGTAGCACGGTGTAAGCACCTCTTCTCGTTACACAATACTGTCCATATTTTAAGATCTCGTTATCCTTTCTGATCTGCCTGGACTAAAAATATCCCCCTGTTATTACACAGAAATGTGTTTGGTAAGTTGCCACATAGAAATAAGTAATGTTGTTTGATACCATGCCTTGTCTGTCACAAAATATCAGCCATTGAACTAGTAAGCAAATTGAACATTTAAAAATAGTTTTCCCATAAAGTACAGGTCATCAGCAGACTATGTGATACTAAGGTTTGCTATAAAAATTTCCATAGGTGTTGACTAGGTATTATCTGTATAATTTGCTAATAGCTTTCCCATTCCTAATTCAACATCCTGACTCAGGGCAGTGAAAGTTCAAATTATAGCAAAGGGCTTTAATTTTGAAGAAACATGCTCTGCACATATGAATAAAGAAAAGAGTAGGAATTCACCAGACGAGAATATGGTATGTGTTTAATGGATCCATACCAGGCTGTTCTTTAAACAGAATGCTAAATTAAGCAATACTTGATTTAAATACTCACCACACATCCTTGAGCCACAGAGTATACTAAGATCACAATAAAAATACACAAAATGGTACGAATTTGTATTGTCAGGCACCCTGGAAAACACTAAGGAAGAAAAAAAAAGATTTATAGATAAAGATTTTGTAATATTTTTTAAAGTGGGGTTGCTATTTTTTTAGTCTATAAAAAGAAGTGAATAAGGGATACGAAATTTTTGCCTGCACTGCAAATTATGAAACAAGCATGCAGTTATTCTTGTGTACATATGTTTTAAAAGTAATTGCATTTTTGGGGGTAACAAATGTGAAACTATTATTACTATACATTATTTCTCATAATAATTAAAACTCTTTGAAAGGTTAGTAGGATGTCTGCTCATAATGCAAATAATAAATTAGGATGGCATTTGATTTTGTTCCCATGGGGAAAATACCCAAAGCATCTTTTGCCTTGCAAATTATCAGCTACAAATAGTGATCCAAGAGAACATACTGTGGTAGCATAGAATTTTGGAGTGGTATTTGTGTCTTCTGCTATAATAGTCACATTAAATGCCAGGATAGTTTTAATTATCAGGACTCATTAAAAATACTGAATTTGTCAGAGCAGAAAGAGCAGTGGAGAACAAAAATGTCTGGTGGAATGGAGTCTTGTGAATCTCTTGCTCATCTCCATTTTTACCCTGATTCCATCACTGTGAAGTGTGAAGTGCTTGCTGCTGTGAGTATATATGAAGCCAGTGACATAAGGTGAGAGAGGAAGGATAAGTCTGTCAAGCTCTAGTACTTGTTCCAGTCATAATGATCTGCTCTGTTTTCAGGGAAAGCCGCTTTCCTTCATTTCCCCTTGCATTAAGAATGTTTGGGGCATCTATTATCTACTGGATCCACGATGCGCCTTTCAGACCACAGGACTTCTTCCAGTGACTTCAAGGTGCAAGAATTAACTCCAGGAAACAATCAGATTTAGAGGGGGAACAATCCTGTGTCCCTTAAATGGAGGGGGCTCAGACTTATCAAGGTTGGATTTGACTTAAGATCAAATGGAGCAAGCAAACACCTAATTTTTGGATGAAAGTCACCAGTCCTGAAGAAAAGCTGTTCACTTTATGGGTATCATCAACACCAAAAGCATAGCTTCCAGCAGGCAGCAAAGTACCCATAGAGAGGGGATTCTGTGGCCTTGGCACAATAGAAATCATGTATTGAAACTCCTCCCCTTCCTTTCACATATGCAGAGACATTTCCACTGTTTGTGTGACCATGAATTAAAAGTTTGAGATCGTTATAGATGAATCAACTTCATCTGGGCTGTGAAACATGAGAATACAGCAATTACAGAAAAAAAAAAGAAAGTGTGATCTGCAAATACATTCTGGCTTCAGTATGGATTAAGTCCATTTAAATGTAGGCTGGGAACAACCAACATAATACCAATAGTAGATTTACAGAAGCATATTATAGACCTGAGTTAATTGGCTACACCAGAAACCAGTTTAACTATTAGTCAGCATCAGTAAAATACATTGGGATACCCGAGGTATATCACCTTTAATAAAACAGTGAGCATATTGTAGAACAAAAACCTCAAACTGTAAGAATCTCACATTGAAAAGCTGTGTCTCAAGGGAGGGGATATAGCAGTGTCCAAAATTACACTATGAAAAAAGAGATAGACTATTTCTGCATTTATTCATTATTATCATACAGTTCAGGTTGGAAGGGACCTCAAGGGGCCAAAAGTACTGTCTGCCTTGACCCCCAGGGCCATTTCTGCAGAGCTAGTCAGTCCCCAGCCTGTGCCATTGCAGAGGGTTCTTCCTTCTCAGGGCCTGGACTTTGCACTTATCCATGCTGTATTTCATAAGATCCCTGTTGGCCCATTCTGCCAACCTATCTAGGTCCCCCTCAATGGTCATCCTGCCAGTGTGTTGGCTGTTACCCCAAAATTGGAGTCACCTGAAAACTTGACATGAGTATACTCCATGTCCTTCTCCAGGTTGTTGATAAAAATGTTTAACAGGACAGGTCTCAGGATAAACTCCTGTGGTACCCCACTTATTACTGGCTTCAAGGTAGAGTACGACCATAAACTGCTATGCTCTGAATGTGATCATCCAGGCATTTTTTTTACCCATCAAGTTGTCCACCAAGACCAAAATCCTATGCACACATGAGGTGGAACATGAGTGTTTCTATCCATATAAATAAAATGGAAAATAGTAATTTTGTTTGAAGGAAATATATATATTCCATTAATTCAGTTTGCAACCAAATAAGTTATCTACTGCTTGTTAAAGAGAGAATCCCCATAGTTCGAAGATAATGCTGCATGGTTAATATCGACAAAGCAAAATGCAGATTCAAAGACAGTGTGTCCTGACACATCGCACAGACTTTTTTTTGTGTGTGCGTGGTATGTGTATGTTCTAAATGTTCACATGCTAGGCTATTAGGTTAAAAAGGAAAAAAAACCTTTAAAAGGTAAGGTATGAGACATGTCTGAATTAAAACTCTGACTGACACTTGAAGGATTTATATTTTTGACTTTTGGTCATTCTAAGATTGCATCTGCTCTTTTATGATAGCATAGCATTTTGGGTTTCGTTTTCTTTGTTTTCTTTTATTTGTGGAATTTTTATTAACTAAATAAATACTGTCAGATCGCCAAAATGCAGGTAACTGGTACAGTAAAACATTATTATAGTGGTTTTATGAGTGAGGCGTTTAATGCTAAAGCATGGAGAAGTTGAGTCACTTGTCCAGTGTAAAATAGCATATAAGTGCCAGAAGACTGATTAAAATAGGGGAATGACCGGTTTACAATTTTATATTCATTATACCTAGTATATTCATTATCTTTTATTTATTAAATAAGACAAATTTTCACCACAACATTTCAAACTGCAATATTCTGAGTTTTTATGTTTCTTTATTTTGCTAATGCTGGATTTGATCCTGTAAGGTACTGAATCTCTAGAGGAACCTGGAATGAATTCAAATTCTGTTGACTGCCAAAACAGCTGGAACAAACCTTAAGTTTGTACTAGCTCCAGGGAAATGGCATAAAGAGGAGCAATTTCCTACAAAGTTCATCTGTGTTTCTACCATCCATAGACAGAACAACAGATGATAAACTACTGTGCCTTTATGAAACAAGAGATCATCAAAATTATTCCCAAATAATTGTGTAAGTTTATAAATAAAGATCTGCTCTGTACCAGATACTCTGCTAATATACTATTTATGTTTCCATGAAAACAATTACTTTCCTCCTGCCAAAGGGCATTTTTTCTTAACTAAAAATTAGTGAGTGCTAATCAGCAAAGCTGATTAACCGTGTAGGTGTTTTCTCCTGATATTTGTCTGAAAAGACTAAATTTAGATTAAGCCACTACAGATTTCTTTCATCAGAAAATTAGTCTGCAGATGCTTTATTCTGATCTGGCAGACCTAGTTCTCTCCTACAACAACCAAATGTCCTTCTGCATCATTACTGTTGTGAAAATGTAATGCAGGAGAATTAATCATTACTAAAGGTTTTGAAAAGGCCAAGGGTTGCATGTGCAAAACATTGTGCTTTACCATCAAAACAGCTGCTGCTTTGGCAGGAAAAGTTTTGAAAACAGAGGGGAAGTTAGCAGGACTTTACACCCAGATACCAGTCAGAATGGAAGGGAGAACTCGTGTGCTCCGTAGTCAGAAAGGAGAAAAAGTCAGGGTAAAGCAGCTGTTTATCTGAATACTGGAATGATTCAGTAGCTAGGGGTAGGTGTTCAGCAAAGATGTAGCAAAAAAGACAAAAAACATAGCATTAATGGCACTGAATGCTACACTGCTGTAATGATTACTCATGTAAATACTCTTCTTTCCAGTGAACCATCTTTGTTTTTGAAGTGCCTAATACGTTACTTAGCAATGAACTTGAAAAGCACATAAATTTCAGACTCTATGAATCTGTGAAGCACGGGTTGATGGCTTCACATTCCAAAGGACAAACAAAGCATAGCCACCAAAAGGAAGAATAATAATAATAGTCATAAAATCTTAAATCACTTACTTGTACTCGTGTGACATGTAGGTACATAATACAAGCCACTAGGAAGCATATGCAGAACACCAGGAGAACAAGAACTACGGTACTCCTAGAATAAAAACACAATAGAAGTAAAGCAATGCAACTCAGTAGCAGATGAGAACAGCACAGGGGTCCTTCTGAAATGGTATTTTGGATGAATGGTGGAGGATCTCCCCCTCACCCTTGCTGTAATACGAACCGTTGCAGAGGAAATTTCACAGTGAAATGCACTGCTCAAGAATGAGAAATCAGTAAATGGTCTTGTATATGGTGCCCACTCTGACCTCACCAAGGAGATCAAAGCACCTCAAAAATTCAACTGTATGGTGTGTCAGGAGAGACACTTTATAATTGTAGGCTAATGAAGAATATTCAGCATGATGACTCTTACAAGTGGAGTGTGTAGCCCAATTACGTGGCCTTGGCAGCTGTGTAACAGTTACCAGATGCTTTTCCCTTCTAATCTCTCCTTCTCAAAGATTCAGAAATCAGAGGTCGGTCAACTCAGTCACTTATCAAGTCAAATAAAATCAGACCAGACTGCGATCCCTTCTTCTAACGAAACAGAGCAACTCCCTCCTTTTGAGTCTTCCTCAACGGTTAGAAAAATCTTAGGTTTCACAAAGATGCTGTAATAATTCTTTTAATTCTTAATCTTCCCTCTCCTGATCTTTCAAAATAGGCTTGTTCTTCATGAGAAGAGGGGTGCAGACCAAGCACTTCCCTCCTCCAGAAAACCTGTGTTATTGGAACAGTACCTTATGCATGTGAGCAAGCTGGCAAAAATTAGTCCACCAATGCTGGTGCTTTGATTTATGCTCAGGGACAGCCTGGCCCCAAGCCAGCCATGGAACCAGGGCCGTATGACAGCAGAATAACATGATCTTAACACCTTCTTTTCTAGTCTTGTGAGAACAACCCAGCCAGTCTAGAATATGCGAGCCATGGCTGCAGGCATATATGTATCTGTGCCCTTGACCATCACTGGGGAAAGATTGCTTATGTAGGGTTTCTAACAGTAGAAGAGAAGAGTGCAATTCTTCTGCTGTAGAATTTCTCAGTATTTGGCTTTGATTTCAAACTCATGTAACAATTCCCACCAATACACAAACAGGGAAAATTCTGTGGTGTAGTATGTGTATCCAGAATGGGGAGGTGATCTAGATGCTGTCAGTGTGGATTCTGAATACAAGTATCAATAGACAGCAGGCTCTCCTGTGCTTTTAGAGAATTGGCTTGTATTCAGGGTGGTAGTATACGAGGAAAAAAATGCAGGGGACATGATTGCAACTGCATCTTTTAAGGCAGCAACAGCCAACAACTGACACTAGTACTGAGTGGGACCCTGACAGAGATTTGGGTTGGCACCAGTAACAAAGGGATACATTGTTTTTTAAAAATAAACCCAGCATAAGACATCAGAAAGGCTCAACATCAGGGCTTTTAGTGGCTACACTGCATGTGTGCCTTCATAACTGGACAGCTTAGGTTGACAGGAACATAGCCTTACTTTTACCAACTCCATCTGGGGATATAAAATATGCCTTTAGCTGAGAAGCTGTTTTGCTCAGATGATCATAGGAATTGTGAGAATGTCAAGCCCATTGCTTTCTGTGTATTTATGCAGCAACTGGCTTTCTTACAACATTTTCTTGCCTCTAGATTTTGAACCTCCTCCTTGGAATATTGTGATACATGTCAAACACCATTATTATCACTTCTCCCATTATAGTAACACATAACACTTCTTGTCTTGGCTTTTGCATTCTTTTGTCATACTTATAACTACTTTGGCAATCTAAAGAGCAACTTAAAGCTCCAAGTTCTATGGAGAGGGGAAATTTTCCAATACTTCCAAAGGTCTAGTCTAGCTCATGGTTGCACCTGTGTCACAACGAGAGAAGAGCCTGAGAAGACTAGTAATTTGTATGAAGACACCACCAACAGACACTGGAAGAGAGAACTTAAGACCATTCAGTGGGTGGCTTTTCTAACTAACCCAGTGATGAACCAGTCCATCTTCATGGCCTTCAGTGGTCATGTTCTGCTGGAGCTTGTGTGTCTGTCAGATCAGAGCTTAAACTGAATCTCTGTACAGCTGTTTTTTAAGTGACAGTACTTTTTGGAAAGGTTACCAACTACCATACCATATGATTCTTGGAAATTCATTCTAGTTTCAACTATGCTAATACTCTTTGTCTCTCCTTGTTCTAAATTGCCATGTACTGCAGCTGGGCTTTACTTCAGAAGCAGGTGAACAAGTTCTTAACTATGCTCCAGTTAGTCAGTAGAGGTCGTTAGTCTGGCAAATTAGAGATTTTTGTAAGTGACTTTGAATTCTTCAGATGAAAGGTATTATATAACAAATTTACATGATTATTATTATTATTAAAGTAAAAAAGGTGTTTCTCAAACTTTCAATTAGAAATAATAGAATATAGGAGTAAGTATTATTCTGACTGGGGATTTATGAATAGAAAAGACCAGAATTTAAAATGGGATTTTCAAAAGCATTATCTTGTGGTCAGTTCTATTCCCACTGAAATCCTAATAATTACTAAAAGTGAGTGAAGCTTATTTTGAATGTTTTGATATTCTCATCTGAAAAAGCTTATTACTAATCATTTTTATACCTTGAACACAATTATATCTACTTATTATAACCCCTAGATTTGAAAGTGAAGTTTAATAATTTTTTTATTTAGTAAGCATTCACATAGAATTGACAAAATCTGAAGTAATCACTAAACTATATCACTCAGCAATAGGCATTAGACACTCCCCAAATACATCATGAGTATTTGGTTATGTCTGCTTTAGTGCAGGCAGAGTCTGACTGCAGCTCATGTGGGAATGGCCAAACTATGCACTAGGCAGTTTGTGTAGTGATAGCATTGACACCAAAAACCTCAATGCAGGCTATAAATTTGGGTTGAAAAGCTGGACAGATACTTCAGTACTTAGTTCCCGTTAAGCTCTGTATAGTTTTATCTATGTTGCTACCAATACCTGAAGTACCTCGTCCAAAGCCAGCACAAATAAATACATTTAGAAAAGCTGCAGTAACACCTTTGTTTGTAGTGCAGAAATGCTTTAAATAAGTTCAGCAACTTAGATTTTGTCTTCTAAGTGCATCCTTCTACCAAAAAAAAAAAAAAGAAGAAAAAAAGTGAGAGAACAGGGAAGAAATTGTTATAATTAAGATAGCAAAATGTGGCTCCTTTGGACAAATGGAAGAGATAACAGTCAGACTCTTCCATCAGAAGATATCTGAATCTCCTGTCAGAAGATACCAACTTGGATGTTAGTTCCCATTCCAAAGACATTAATGTTTTGACCTGTGCAGGATGCTTGAAGATGTTCCACTTTGAATTATAATGGCAAAAGACAGAAACTTACTGTGGTATTATTAGAAGGTAGACAAGGCCAAATAAGGCAGCTAGAATTAGTGAGAGAACTACAGCACTGGTGAAGTACTCATCCTGAAGCTGGTGGTACTGTTAAAGAAAGGAAGAAATTAAGACAGTGAGTTTTATACACACCCAGCCACCCATGCTTGTCCATTCTCAGTAAGAAAGAACGAGCCCCTACCCATTTTACAAACATACAAATAATCATTGCTTAATTCACCAAAAAAAAAAAAAAAAGAGGCAAGTCTACACAACATTTTCCTTGACAGCCTTCTGTTTCAGCCGCTACTGTTGGCCTAGCTGCTTAGTTTTCACCCTGTAACCAGTCAAATCTGGGTTAGGCTCAGGCGTAAGTTTATCTTTTGGAGCAAAAAGGATTCAGCCATTTTGAACCAGGCAGAGGTGGCACTCCCTCCTTTCCACTTATTCATTACAAAAAAAGGCCAAAACCCCCTTGGTGCTGCCTTCAAGGAGTCCTGTCACCTCAGCTGCTCAGGACAGAACACTAACAGGTAGGCTGGAGGCAGCTGCTACTGAGAGACATGGGCTCAGTTTTGAGCAGTTACTGTCCCTGATTCCACTAAGCCACAGTCCTTGCAACAGAACACTTTTCAGAGGTGGAAACACACGAGTGTTTTCCCAGAAAGATCCAAATTTCAATCTCATTTACACCAAAAGACTTTCTTATTTTGAAAGAAAACAATTACAATTAAATAATAAATCACTGTGGAAACTTGAAATCAAAGTTAATGCTCAAGACCTTAAAAAAATTGAGTCCAATGTGGCACACAGCCTTCTGACTTGAAACAGTAGTGACATGAAATCTTAGACTACGAAGTGACTTACAGTGGAAAAATAAATGCTACTGCCAAATTAATCCAAAATCTTATCACTTCTGCTTTTTCAAACACATAAACGAAAGGCTTTTATTTTTTTTCAATTAAAACAATCTGTATTTACAAATAAAACCCATACAAGGTAGGAACAACCAGCTCTACTTTGTTAGCTTATATGCATGCTTGTAAGTCTGGAGTAAGTCCACTGCTTTCAGCACAGTCACACTGGCAGAAGATCACAACCTTGCCCAGAGATTTAAGATATTTTTATGTTTTCTAGGATTGATGGGATCAATACTTATCAGGCTACATATGCAGAGGGAAGCATCCTCCTGTCATTAACACTTCTCCAGAGCAGATGAGTCAGTAGACAGCCACATTGCCATGAGACAGCATCAAACAGGTGACGCAGGTCAGGCAGTTTGGAGAAGGAAAAGGAAGGCCAAAACACAGGATGTGTAACTTCATGGGGGAGGATCTTGATGAGTAGAAAGATACTGATCTTTCTTTTTATCCCCTCCAAGTGCTTCCATAGAAGGTGGAGATAATGTCTCCCTCTTAACTGAGAGACAGTCCAGAGGATTATTTAAAGATAGTGAGTAGAATTTAAATATTGTCTAAAAACAAACAAAAAACCAATGCTAGTTGGCTCATGGTCAGTGAAATCAGTAAAAATAATTTAAAAACCCCTTACTTTATTTTCACGCTCAATTTGTTTATACTTCAGGGTAATGAAGTTCAAGTCAGCCATCTCAGACTCAGTTTGCCGGGCCTCTATCAAACGGCTGATGTATCTGTTTACTCGAGTTCCTGGAGTGTTGTATACAACATTGGTAGAAAAAGAGGAACGATTCCTGAGTTTTTCAGAGGCTGTCCTTAATGCTCTCCTCTGTAGCACAGATGAAGAAAGAAGAATAGATTTTGTTAACGTTGAAATTTTTCATTGCTGTTCATATTATCTCAAGCTCACAGCCAGAACAAGGAATTCATTAAGCAGAGCAACTACAAAAGACAGAGATCTTATCTCCATGTGATTGCCATCTTTTAAAAACTCCTTAGCTGAAATCCCGATCTCATTAAAATGAATGAGAAAACCCCCACTGCATTCTAGGATTTTAATCCTCATCCGCAGAAATTCTTTTCACCTACTGCCCTGACACTTCTCTGCCACTGAGGAAATAATCAGTTTGATCCCAATCAGTGTGACTTTACCTAGAAAAATAATTAGAAGTTTTTTCTTGATGGAAGACATGGAGCTCTGGTCATCCTGAAGACAAGATAACCAGGCTCTTCACGATACAAGAAAAGTCCTACTGTCCAAGACTGTCTAGGTAACAATATATATTTTGAAAAGATAATTTTCCTTAACCTCTTGCACAATGACCATATGTGACTTCAGAGGGTCTGAAATCTCAAGTGTTCCTGTCTTTAACTCACCCAGGTGGCTCTCTTGTTAAGACCTCGTGGGTATGCCCTAAGTGCACTTGCAGATCCAGATGGAGCAGTAAAATAAATTATCAAAGCTAACCTGTCCCTCACTGGGGTTAATTCCTCCATGGCTGATAGCACGACTGACAAGATGATCACTCATAGTCCTTTTCAGTGCAAAAGATTTATCACAGAGCGTATCTGAAAGGAATTTTAGATAATCTGTCTCACTTTTCACAGAGAGCACTCAGAAGATGGTGAGCAGCATCTCAGCCACACTGGTGGTAACCTTCAGTTGAGGGCACTGTAATCTAAACCATTACAGCTAGATCTGCACTAGTATGACTGCACATGCCCCAGCACACTGAAAGGATCAGGGCCTTCACAAAATACTCTTGTAGATGCAGCATTTTTTAAACACAGAGTGAGAAAGATGTAGGCCAATCTTGTAAAAGAAAAAACAGTCACCTAATGCTTAGCACATTGAGCAGGAAGAAAGAGACATCAATTGAATACCCTTTTCACCTCAAAAGGGGTCAAGCCTTACTTCCCAGAAGAGTTTTGACAACCAAGCTCAAGCAAGTTGTACTATTTTTATACAGTTAAAGGAATACTTTTTTGTCTAACATCTGCAGAGTTCAGGAAGACAATTCGAAACAACTCTGCTCAAGGATAAGGACAACATTGGCTCAGGATATAATCAGTAGTGTCTGTCAGCAAGCTGTTAGAGAAGCACACAAAATTTCTCTCTTCAGAGCAGTCCGTACTTAATAGCCCACTCTTTAAAGCCTATGCTACAAAATATCCTTTTAAACCAGATGGTAAAAAGAGGTAGTCATCACTATTTAAGTAATTCTGCAGGAATGGCAGTTTCCTGTCTTATTCCACAAGAAGTAGTTCTCATGAGATCCTCATCAGTGAACAAACAGTGGACTACAGCAGTTCATTAGCTTACATAGGTTATGTTATATGTATATTACACCTGAATACTTAAGAACAGTGGGAAGGGTTAACTGCTGACTGATACCTTAGTTTTCTGATCATAAAGAAGAATGGACCTTAGCAAAGATAAAGTAACTTTCCAAGTCCTGTTTTGCTGGCTTTATATGTAGAGAGCAGGTTATATCAGCATTAAACAGTTATAAGGCTACTTGAAACATTTTTCTTCAAACTACCAGATCCCATTACCTGTTAAGTTTCTGATCTTCTGGGTTCTATTAGCCATAATAGAAATCTTAAATTGCCAGCCAAACAACTATTCTAAAAGTTTTTAAACAGAATAAAGTTATTCTCTTGCAGAGACATTTGTCCCACAAGTTTGTAGGGAAACTGAGTGCTTTCAGGAATATTGTCAGGAATATGCAATTTTGCTCTTCATAAAGATAAACAACAATTAGTTAGCATATGTATTGCTTAAGGTGCAGCAGAAGGTACATCTTTGGGTGTTTTTTATAATCCAAATTTATGCCTATAGCATAGAAAAAGGGGGAACAAAACAGCCTTTAAAAAAAAAAAAAGAAAATGCTGCTTTGCTTTAAAATCTGGAATGAGGGTAGACAATGGGAGTTATTCTGATATATGGAATAAATTATATTATCTATTCTGCCATTTTGAAATAGGGTTAAAGTTACTGTGCTTAATCCAAATAGCTGTTGCTCACATATAATTATTTTCACTAGGTCTCTTATTTTTATCTCTATTATTATTTCATACAGTAGACTTACATTATGTCTTACATGCGATCAAGATCCAGTATTTATATTTCTCAGAAATTAAATAAATGAATTCATGCTACAGTAATGTACTAGCTTCAAAGCCTTTATAGCCATAGCTTATTTTACATGATTTGGGGACTGATATCTCTGAAGAAACCCTGCATTGAAACACAGTGTATTTATATTAAAATCATATATCATGCTCTACAATAAATGTTACGTATTAGGTACAAAAGCTCAGAACAACTGGTTCAGTTAAAGACAGCATTGTAGAACTTCACTGCAAATGTTCTGACGCGAGAAAATTTTCATCAGATCCCTAGCAAACCCATATTGGGATTTTCTGCATATACTACCATATTTATACATATATATACACAAGACACATCGTAAAGTATTGCATATGCTTCAAAGAATGTGTGGGTTATTTTTTTTAAATACTCAAAGAACAGTACTAATTCACAATTGGAAGGCCTTGTTCATGGCCAATTTCAAAATAAAGTCTGGAGTTTCTGAAAGTTTTCACTGAAAGTGTGTTTTAAAGGAACTAACGGACTTTTCTCCCCTTTTTCTGCAGAAGAAACACAAGCACACGTAAAATCCAAAATATAAAATTAGAATGTAAGTAAGAAAGATTTAGACTGAATCGTCAATGAATGTACATTATTTAAGGACAAAAAAAAAAAAGGTGGAGCAACCATTCAAGATGAATTACTGATTCCAATGCACACCAGTGCCCTGGAGCACTGGTGGAGTGACCTATGTAATATTGCCACCTGCTGGCAAAGAAAATGGAATGAGCAACTCTTCAAAGGTTTTTTCTCCATAAATTTCTGGGTAGATCCACACACAGAAAAGGAACTATACCAGGCTACTAGTATATAAAGCAACTTTGAGTTATGTCATTACAAGCCATTCAAGAAAGCAGTATTCATATTTGTATCAGGGACTTTTGTATTTAGGATTTGTATTAGGGACTAAGAGGTTTTTTGGCTAATCAGTTGCCTTTCATTTTTTAGAGAAACATCTAGAGATACAAAATTATTCTGTTATTTTGCATTTGCTGCCATCAGCTTCAGACTGTGATGGACTTATGATGCAAAAGAACAGCCCTTGGTAATCGCAGAAAAAGCCTCAGAAACTAATTCCTGTGAAGGAAACCCTTAATAGAAGCCATGTAGGCCACCTGTGCTGGCTTGTTCAAGAGGAGCTCCAAATTTGAGGCCTGTTATAATTAAGTTTTGTCTTTACTGTGAGAAGGCTGTGGGCATTAGATAGCTCTAGCTCCAGCAGGAACACCAGAAACTCCTCTATCAGTTGATCAGGTCACCCCATATGTTCTCAGAGCAGGTCTGCTTGATGCGGCCCTGGAACCAATGCCCAAAGAGCCCACATGGATTACCTTATCGTCATCCTCACACGTCATGACATTGGAGAAAGGGATCTCTGCTTTGAACATCTTACGACAGTGCATGAGCTGAACAAGCAGGTAGCAGACTGTCTTGAACTTCATTCTTTTGGCAGGCTTAATGTCTGAGAGAATCAGTCCAGGAAATATCTGTTGGTCAGAAAAATAATATTTATAACTGTGCCATTACATTCCTATGCAGACATACATACCTGCAGACATTTACACCACCTAGTGGTCAGAACAAAGCAATATTCTAATTAAGAAGCAATGCATTTTGATAAAGATCGTATATTTGCAGATGAAGATTATTTCATCTTTTTTTAACCTGAGAGATAAAGAATCTGTTGAACAGACAGTGTTTAAACACATACTTAACATTTCGGGAACTGTTTTCTACATAGGAATGTAGACTATAAAAAAGCGTATTAATGACAAACTCATAAAAGAGGCAATATTTGTATTTCTTTAACCTTAAAATAAATTCTGGAAAAATACAGGAAAAAATAAGGAGAAAATTAGCATTTTTATTAATTGCTGTTAAAAAATATAATTTCAGTCTTTTTCTTATTTCCTTATTTTGTTACTTCAGCCACTGGTAAGCCCATTAAAATCAGAAAAGGGTAGCTTTTGCTTTAAAGATACACTTATATACATGCCCTAAAAGGAGTCTGTGAGGCACTGAGGTTATATCTTACATCTTTTTTCTTCAAAGCAAGAAGTGTTATACCACAAAGAAATATTCTCAAAGGGTTGGCTATAATCTATTCCTTTTACCACAGAGCTCCCAGTTCAGCAAGGACAAATATTTTCTTGGTTAACTCTTAAGCATGTATTTAACTCTTGCTGACTTTAGTAAACCCCTAGCACATGTTCAGATGCTTTCACAGATCAGAATAAGAGTGATCCTTTATTCCACCCTCAGTATTTATACCAATCTTATTCATGCTTCTGGCATGTGGAATGTGTAAAGCAGCGTTCATGGGAAATGTGGAAAGACCCCATGCCATCACAGTATGGGAATTTAAGCTTGTAAAATCTTTTTTTTTCTGGAACAGCAAAATAAAGAAGCACAGAGGATTTGGTCCCTAGTGTTCCTAGGTACAAAAGACAGAGCAAATCACACTCCAAAAACTTTATTCAAATGCTCTAAACCCCACAAATGGCACTGAGGATTTGCTGTCCAGTCTTCACAATACTATGATTTACTAGAGCAGTTTACATCATTATTTCAATGATCAAGGAATGAAGAAGATAGTAAACTGGAAGCATTTGTTTAATGCATGTTTTCATGGATACCTAAATTTAAAGGGACAGGGCAAATGACACTGCCGATATTCTGAATGGCATCTCAGGTATTGGTTTCTTATGCTGTTTAACGCACACAGCTATGCACTTACATTTTCTGGAGAATCAAGGGTACATCCTATTGATCTACCAATACTCTGTTTAGTCAGTTACACTGTGGCTATGAAACACAAAAATGACTTGTGTATAAACAGTTGCACATTTTTTATTAGCAGATGGCTATGTTACAAATGTGACCTGTTTCAAATGTGGAAAGGTGCCTAGGTATGCACATGTGCTTTATTGTGCACTGAAAGGCTGACTGAAGCCAGCTGGCATCACCAGCACTGTATTGCACAGTCATCAGCTGGAATCTAAAGGGACGTTAGTGTATCTAGTGTGTAATCACTTGTATAAGTGATAGTTTAACAAAAGTCTCCATGAAGAGATTCCCAATATGAACCCTTTCTTTTGAGGGCTTTCTGGCAGAAGACTTACCGCTATATTGCAATAACCGCATAGGATATACTGTACAAGGACAGTTGTTAGGCTTGAGTATGGCAGGTATGATCAGCTTTTGAGCTACCATTCCCAACAGCTAAAACATACTTTTTGGACAGGTACTCCATTTACAGATTTTCCTAATTTAGCCATAATTCCTCTAGAAGTACTATATATTTTACTCAGTCTCCCTTTCAACCTTTTAATAGAACAAAAATGAGCAACTTTCTTGAAACTCCCTCCAGTTTTGCATTTTGCTTCATTTTTTTTAAGACACAGAGATAAAAAGGGAATACACAGAAGTTTACAGGTGGACCATATCTCAAGAGATCATTAGCTCTTTCTTTGCTCAAACCTTTCACTGTGGACATTGCATTAACTAGGTCAACAACTTCGGTTTTAGGTCTCCATCAGATTGGCTGGAAAAGACACTCTTAAATAAGTACAGAGAGCTACAGAAGCTGCCTGACAGCCTTCATTGTGGAAATGCCGTAGTAAAGATGCAAGAGTGGCAAAGAATAAGTAGAACATCTTACTAGCAAAAGATTCAAGAAGGCATGACTGAGAAAGGTGAGCACATGGGCATGACTATATCCTCCTACAAGGATTTGAAGACCTGTGAAAAGAGAAGAATTTAGACTTTTCTCAATGCGCACTTCTTATAATAGATGCATTTCTGAGAACAACTTGCAACTTGAAAACTTGGAATGGATACAGTTTTGCTCAGGCAGTGTGGCCCTGTCACCAACATGACTTTTCCTCAAACACATATGTTCATGCAGTTTCCGGACTATATCTTCAAAGAAGTAGGTAGAACATTTTTAGCTCATACTATCGACTGCTCTCTTTGTTTATAAATCTTATCAGCAGATAATGTATCAATAGTATACACCCTTTGTATGTTGGAAATACAGGGGAGTTTTCCAGCTGTCTTGGAGTCAAATAGAAGTTTTTCAACTCAGGTCACTGAAGAAAATGGAGTAGTGTGTCTACTTCTGGGCTCCCTAGTACAAGAAAAACAGTGACAAACTGGAGTGAGTTCAGCAAAGGTCCACCAAAACAATTAGGGTTCTAAAGCATATGACATATGAGAAGAACCTGAGGGAATTCAGTTCATTTAGCTGGAAGAAGAGAAGGCTAAGGAGGGATCTAATTGCTGTCTTCAGCCACCTAAGTAGTAGTTAGAGAGAAGACAGAGCCAGACTCATCCCAAAAATGCTCAAAAAAGCACAAGTGGCAATGAACATACAGGCTGGACCAAGGGAAATTACTATTCAATACAAAGATTTAACTGTGAGGATGATCATGCACTGGAGCAGGCTGCCGAATCTCCAGACAGGGAAACACTCAGCACTCACTCAGATGAGTTGCCCTGAGCAACCTGCAATTTCAAAAGTGGATCTAACTGCGATGCTGGCCTTACTTTGAGGAGGGAGGTCGACCACATGACCTCCAAAGGCCCCTTCCAAATTCAACTACTGGGCAATGCTATGAAAATGTGTGGAACACGTATAGCTACTGTTCTTCATGGCTGGCCAAGAACCTAATGACTCAAAGGACACTGCTATACACACAAGTAGGGCACACTGTCAGTTCTCAGATCATGTATAATTTTATATATAGCTTTTTCTTTTTTTTTTTTTTAAATCTAGTGGTTGCAGGACATACGGATTCTGCACTGGGACTAAGGATTTTCCATTTTACTATTATATACACACAGTATCAAAAATACAACAAAGGAGTTCTCTCCCACTTTCATCTCACACATGATGTCCCTTTTTTATTGTTACTTTTACAGCATAACAACACTTTTGACACAGTGAACTTCTGAGTGGAATATTTAAGTAATCTCACCGTCTGCTGTAAGCCTCTGATAAAGGCAAAACAAGCAGTACAGTCTGTTAAAACAGACTTAAAAAAAACCCAAACAAACCAAAAAACCCAACCCCAATGTCTTTCACTCTGCCTTTTCTCTGAAATTCCTCCAGGCCAGCACTACAGGAAAGCTGGAAGCTGGACTGCAGCATTCTCATTCCAGCTCATTTTGTCAATACATTTTACTTTCACACTTCTTTTTGACCCTTCGGATCATCTCTTATTCTGTTCACTGTTCATTTGCTTCATAATTTTAGGAAAGGTTGGTTGTTTGCTGCAACACAGCTGGCAAATAAGGTTAAGAGTTGGGATTTTCTAACAGAGCGCTCTGAAAGCAGCCGGACTATCTACAGCTTTGTGAGCATCTTTAAAGTATGCAGAAAACAAACAAGCACTGATTAAAATTCTGGGAAAACGCCCCAGTGTTTGAATCTCATGTAATACTCTGGTAAGGGATTCACTGGTGCTTATCTGGGATTCTCAGAAACAGCAGCAGACTGTTGTTCCCCAAAGTATATTCAACTGCAGTGCTTAAAATGGCATGGGAAAGAAGATACTAATGACATACAAAACACATTTACAGAAACCATACATGCTGTGGCACTATGTCTGTCTGTGCTTTGTATCTTCAGGCAGGCAGGACCATGCCTTTTGGTAGTAGTATTTGTTGCATTACTATCTGCAAGCCATTTTGTCCTGAGATAGGTGAGCAAATCTTATTTGTTTTTTTTTCTTCTCACAGTTAAAATCATCAGACATTTGCTTTTCCATCCTTTTCTACTGCCTTTATGATACATTTTGCTTATCACACCTCAGTTGTCTGTCAGGAAAGTATATTAGTGATTTTTAATAGGAAATAATACAGCTTCTATAAGACAAACTCTTAGCATTCAGAATGGTGTAGCTACTTTCTCAACACAGATGTAGAAAAAGTTTTTAGCAGCTGTGAAGACTAAAACAATCTCTAGGAGATCTATAACAGAGAAAACCTTATACCAGTGCCCTATGTTTCTCCCTTCTACAGATTCCAAATTTCTGGAGGAAGAAAACAAAGAGAGGAGAACAACGTTACAGTACATCACTAATTCCGCCATCACTGACAGCCCAAGCCGCGGGCTGTCACATTGATGATGATGCACTAGCAGCTTCATGGGAACTGCAGAAACAATCCTGAAGATGTAGAGCAACACACTGCAACACAAGCATCATTCCTCTGTCTGTGTTTGCTGGGTGGTAACACAAGCAGTCTAATTCCAGTGTCGGGATGCGTATATTCCAACAACTTGGGCAATGCAAAGTCTCAGGCACAGATCAGCCCATGTCCAGATATAAGCTAGAGCTTCCATCAAAAGGCTGTGTGTCTATCTGTTAAATCAGATCTGCTAAGGTACATCTGAGGTGGTAAAACCTGAAATGCCCACGTTATGCATTCAGATCTCAGTTAAGTTCCTCAGTAGGAGCTGTCAGCCATTGACAGCAAAGACCAC